GGACTTACATTGATAGCCATGGATACGAGCATCTGGCCCTTAGTGATGTGCCTTACAAAATTCAATTTCTCTGATATGCTTTCGTCATATATAAAGTTCAGTTTCAGTTAGCCGGAAGATCGTTTCATCAATAACAAGTTCATCACTATTGAAATGTAATTTGCCCTTAGAGGAACACTGTACTATTTATATATTGCCGTTGCAGATAAAACAATAAATAAATAAGCAAGTATTATTGCCCCCATTGTGTGTTTCCTGTCTTTTTTTTCCCCCTTTTCTTACTGAAATTTTTATATTTTATTTTGGGAAAATATATAACAGTACACATGTAATAATTATCTTATTATAAAACTTATAAAAATGATATTTAGATTAAAAATATAGAAATAATTAATTTAGATCGTCTAAATAGAATATGGACATTGAAATAAAAAGCGGATGATTGCATATTATCGACCGATCTCTTGAAAATGAAACCCCTATTTACCAAGGCATAAGCTGTCACTGTTTTCAAGGGCTAATTATCAACACCTTCAAGTCTTCCTGTCAAGTAATAAGTTAATCTTCCTTTCCTTTTCAAAATACTGCCAAACGTTCCTTTTTCTTTTTAAATTAAAGAGACAAGCGCTAATGACTTGATACTATGTGGGATTAAACTCATGACTATCCGTTGCAAGAAAGCTTATATACTACTATACTACTCAATTCTTAATATAAAAGCTAGCTAAAAGATTTAATTTGATCCTGCCTGTAATTCCCTTTGCAATCCCTATATGATTGCACATATTAAAAATGAAATTGTAATTTTAATGCATGTACATGATTAATAGAAATATTTTTAAAATATAAATTAGTTATATAATTCTTATATTAAAGAGTTCAGTAGATTATAACCACTAGTCTATGTGAAGTTTTAAAAATCTCAGCAAGATTCTCTTTATGATGAATGAATCCACCCTTCAGGCTTAAAAAGGAATGAATCCATCCTCCCGTCTTTTTTGTTTTCTTTTTTCTTTTATACGCCATTCATCCTCGGTTTTTATGTCCAAGCACTTGACCGTTTTCAGCAAAGATTCGTTTTGGGTCTGTCTATCCACAGACATGGGCCCAGTATTGGGCCTATCTTTGACTTTTCCTTGTCCATCCTTTGACCACATGTTAAGTGACAGCTGCGCCTGTCAATACAGCGAATGAAGACTCCCCTTATTCAAAAACACATAGCGCACTGTGTATCCGTAATCCACCTCATCCACAGACCATAGGTTTAGTTTCTTGTCTTCTTATCGGCCAGCCAATAAAAATCACACATAGCACGTGTTCTCCCACACATTACTTTTTTTTTGAAAAAAAAAACCCGATTTATTATATTTTTTATTACTACTATTATAATTATAATTATAATTTTACAAAAGTGTTGTATCGTACTCCTTCCAGTCCTATATAAAAAAAAAATTCCTATATATTCTTTTCAAATACACCTTTATTTTTATAAAGGAGTGTAAGTGAGAGAGACTCTCACTTAAAATTAGGTATAAATGAAAAATAAATAAAATAAAATTGCACACATTAGAAGGTGTATGAAAATCATGAAAAATAACTAGTGGCAATTAGAACAGGGCCGGTGAACTGTTGATAAGCCGGACGCGGTGAGAGAGACTCACTGTCACTGAACAGTACAGCAGAAGAGCGGAAAAGCTTGAAAAGGATTATGAATGAAGCAACTTGATATGAAGCAAACAAACACATACAAGGCTTTATCCTTCTGCCAATGGTATTTATATAATAGTCGAAATCATTGACCATCATTCAATTAATGCATGCACAAGACCATGGATTCCGACGACGCTCTACCCTATATAAATTCATGCCCTATTAATTCTCTTCATCTCTCATCACTAACCAAACTCAACACAAACCTCCGACTTCGGAAGCATTCAGATCAAAGAATAATGAAGTTCACATTATTGGCTGCATTATTCGTCCTTGTATTCACCTTGAGCACAGAGCCACTGCTCGGAGCCGCTGATGCAGCGCCTGAGCCAGTGATCGATACTTCCGGCAATAAGCTCCGAGCAGGCGTCGGTTACGTCGTACTTCCAGCTCCCCAGCCCCCTGGCGGCGGCGGGCTTTCTCTTGCAAGCATCGGAGAAAAGTGCCCACTTGACGTCGTGGCGGTGGTGGACGATCCTGGCCTAGGCGTGTCGTTTACACCCGTTAATTCCAAGAAAGGTCGGGTTCGCGTCTCCACTGATCTCAACGTCATGTTCTCTGCTAACACAGGTTGTCCTCAGTCCAACGTTTGGAAGATCGACGATTACAATAATACCACGGGACAGCGGTTCGTGACGACAGGTGGGGTTGTGGGGAATCCTGGGAGGCAAACACTGAGAGATTGGATCAAGATTGAGAAGTATGAAGATAGTTATAAGTTTGTTTACTGTCCAAGTGTGTGCAGTACATGTAAGGTTCAGTGCAGAGATATTGGCATATACGTCGACAGCCATGGAAACCGGCGTCTTGCGCTCAGTGATACTCCTTACAAAGTTCAATTTCTATGTTGTCTTTAGAAGGACATTGCAGTTTCTGCGAGCCTGAAGACCATTTCATCAACAATAAAGTTCATGATGAATAATGTTTCTCATAAATAGTATAAATTGAAGCTTGCATAAATTGAGGATTGATTAGTTATTGCATGTCTCCTTGCTAGTTTGTTTGGTTTTTTTAATGTTACAAAGATGCGAGTTGTTCCTAAATGTATTACTCCATATTTAAGAAATACTCCCTTCGTTCCTTATTATAAGAGATATTTGATGCTTATGGCATGTTCCTATATATAAAAGACACTTAAAAGTTGTCTCTACTTTTTTGTGTTGATCTCCTATTTTACCCATATTTATCGTCTCCAACTCACACTCTCCCTCCCTCCCACTTCTCTTTCTTTTAATAATTTAATTGTTCTCTCTAATGCTCTCTCTCTTTATTAATGAGGGCATTTTTGAAAAAAAATTATACTTTTTATAAATTGATTGTTCTTAACTAATTTTAACTGTTTTTTTATCAACGCAATTCGGTTATTCGTCTCTTATAATAAGGAACGAAGGGAGTAATAGATATTCTAACTCAAGCCATAAATGATTAACTTCATCAATACCCAGCTAAGTCCACCGGCACACAAGCGTTCATAATAAATTGTTATACGATCTTAACGCTCTAAAACCATGAAGCCGGCCACTAAAATTCAGTTTATATTCGCCCAAAACTTGCCCCGTTGAAAGTTTTGTCTTTGAGTTATTGGACACAGTGGAATATATATTGGTTCTGCTCGTACTGCTAAGATAGGTTTACAGTGAGGTGGGTTTCTGTTTATAAAGCCGTTAGGGTTTGGTTCTGGCTGTTTATTTTAATAAGATTTTGACCCGCGGTGAGATCTATAATTTATAATTTTTATGTTTATCCTAAAATCTACATCTATTAAAATAAAAAATATGAAAAAAAAATTTAAATTTGAAATGTTCTTGAATGATCCAGATGGGTGAGGAACACCCCCAGTGAGCACTGAAGCTGCCTCTGTTCATAAAGATATTAATTATGGAGTAGATTAACATGCCCCTCAACTGATGTTAATATGTTTTTGGCTTTTTATAAGTTAATTCCATATATAATAGACACATGGACAAACACACACACACAAAGATTAGCTGGTGCCCGCACAAGTGTTGATTTGAAGAAATTTCTCAACTGAAATTATTGAGTGGTTCCAAGTCCAATCATGCTTTCTTTTTTAGCATCTCCTTTCTCTCCACTGCAATCCTTATCTAGTGCGCCTGCACTTAGCCAAAAAGGTAAAAAGAAAACAATACTTCTAGGTTGAATTGGAGGACTTGGTTGAGATAGTAGCTATAGGTTAAATTTTTTTGAGAAACTCCTGTGAGGCTTGGCTAATTAATGCTAAAATGGAACGACAATATTTAAATGTGAAAAGGTTTGTGCTTTGGGTAATTGGGATGATGTGGAACGGATCACAGAAATGCAATATATTAAAGTTGATGTACGTACTTGCGAAATAAACACTAATTAAGTTAAACAAACGCCTGCTAAATCCACTACACACACACACACACAACTATATGAAACAAGTATCCAAATATTCCTTAGGGAACTTTTATATACGAAGAATCATATCTTTGTGATCTCTGAATCTTCATGAAAATATATTCTTTTCTTAAAGCTCCACTATTACCACTATCAAAAATATATTTTTCTAAGAAAAGAAGTACATCCATTACCAATTATTTATGAATTTTAGTAGTTTACTTATATGCTCCCTCTGTCATAGCCGTAAGATATATTTTGTAATATAATTTTCACTACAAAGTTTAACTTATATACTGTCAACACGGATCAATCTCCATTATATTCATGTTTAAGATATGTGGCAAGAAAAAAACAGATAATTAAGATATATGTGGGGCCACAATTTGGGGGCCAAAAAAAAATATTCTGTGATCTCTTTGCTACTTTTCACTTAACTTTTTATATAAATGTTAAAAAATATTTACATCTTTACTGTTCAGCTAATTTTAATGAAATTTTTATCATAACATTTTTGTCAGTATTTTATCAAATATGTAATTAATCAAAATTAGTTAAATCCAAGTTGCCATACCTGATATTATTAACAATTGTTCATAAAAAATATTTGCAATTTACGCATAAAAAAATTACAAATATTAGTTACAAATTCAACCATCAATTTTAAGGGATATTTAGATCGTGACACTTTTTATTTCTAGAAAATGACAGAAGTTAATTTCAGGACTTTAAGATCCCTAGTTATAATAAGATTCATGGTACAGTACGGTCTCTATTTGCCATTCACCTTTTATTTTAAGAGCTTATATTTAAATAATAAAATAATATTATCTTCTCCGGAGTCCAGCGAAACCGCATTCCTTCCTTCTATAAATTAGACCTCGTTGTTCCTCCATTAATTCACAGCAGCAACAAGGAACATCCCGAACCATGAGTAGTATCCCAATTCTTCCCATCCTCTTCTTCTTACTTCTTTCCTTCCCCGCGAAACTACTGTCCTTAAGAGCTGCGAGTTCGGATCCAGTGCTTGACACTTCAGGCAAAGAGCTCCAACCCGGTGTCCAATACCAAATTCTTCCGGCTACCGGAGGCTCTTTTACTCTCGCCGGCTATCAGAACGACACCTGTCCCCTTGTGGTCGTCCATGCCCAGTCACAGAAAGCTGATTCCCTCAAGTTCCCGCCGGTAACATTCTTGCCGGCTGATCCGAGCGCCCATGTGGTTCAAACCTCCACGAACGTGAACGTAAAGTTCTCTACGACGTCGTCGAAACCCTGTGGGAGCTCAATGGTGTGGAGGCTGCTGAAAAGGATAACGGAAGCCAGATTTATTAGCACAGACGGCGTTGAAGGAAATCCTAACGTAAACACCTTCGTGAACTGGTTCAAGATCGAGAAATTATCTTCCGACGGTAAAAGCGGCGGCGCCTATAAGCTCAGGTTTTGCCCAACGGAAGTCTGCAAATGCTCCGTCACGTGCAGCGATCTTGGCATTTTTGTTGCAGATGACAAGAAACGGTATCTGGGTCTGGCCGACAAGGTCGAACCGATCAGCGTTGTGTTTAAGAGGGCGAGCTAATTCATACTTATAACTAGTGATAAATAATGTTGGTGATCACTTAATTAAACCTTGTTTAGCAGCGGTTTATGTCGTCTGAGAATTTATAAATTTTAATATAATGATGTAGTATAATATACTGCCTCTTTCGTCCTAGGTGCCAAATATAGGAGCTAAACCAACTGATAAAAGTTTCACTTTGATTCTAAATATAAAATTATAGTTTACTTTGCTTCCCAAGTTTATAACTTTTCTTAATTATTAATTGCATATATTAGGAGGCTTGTAATAAATAGATAATTTGAATACACATGATTAAATAAGATAATTTTAAAAAAACAAGGATACATGTATGCTAGAATAATTAACTTAACTAGTTTTTTTTAATATTCAAAATTACTCAAGTATCTTTTATACTAATGATTGGAGCTAATAATTAATTAATTAATCAGAGTTGATGAATCCCGTTAATAGTGGAGTTTGATTCTCTCCACTTTCCTTCCCCTCCATTTTTTCAATTTTTCTCCACCTTTCATCTCAACAATCTGTCAAGCATTAAATTGAAATTTGAGCACTCCAATCAAGAATCGCACCACCAACAACATCTAACAATAGCAATTTGAAAAAAGAGGGTGAAAAAAAAATGCCCCATGCTTATATATACTAATTGAGGTGATAGAAGTAGGAAAATGTGTTGATAAATATTATTAATAATATTTGTGCATGCAAGTTTTTCTTGTGTTTTTTTTGGACTGAAACGTTTTTTTTTTGGGTGTTATGGAATATAGAGTATAGAATTACGCGGTGTCCGCAATGGAAAAAAAATCGTTCAATCTCCAATTTTGATAATCATCATTCATTCATTTGCCTTGTTGAGTTGTTTTTACGGTTTTACCCAAACAATTGGAAACTAATTAGCTGTTTTTAATATTCCATTGCCGGCCGACAACAATTTTTGTTCGCATCACCTTATTATTTTTTCTTCCTCGTACTTTTTTATTGTCAACTCAATATAAAATAATCTGACATTATTCCATTTGCAGGGCTGCGGCGCGTGCATATACAATGTATAAATATGTGTGTGATGAATAAAATAATATTCTCCCAATGATTGTTACTATAATATTACCTCTTGTTCTTAATGTAAAAGTTAGTTGATTAATTTAAATAAATTTAAAAAATTAATTAAGTTAGTTATTTACAATAAATAGGTGTTGTCTTTCTTAAAATATTCTTACTAATCAAGTATATTGGCTAGAATTATTATTATTATAATGACTCTCTAAAAAAAAAAGATATATGATAACAAAGTATATCGAAGTTTTATATTTAAAATCAAACCAAATAAAAGTCAAACGAGTTTTTATATTAAAAACAGGATGTAATAATTATTAGAAATAACTACATGGAAATATATCAAAAGTCAAAAACGAAACACAATATGATTAGAATTGCTTTTGAGAAGTGTCCAATTGATAGTCAAATTACTACTAGCTCTGGCTTTGGTCTTTAATATAAAAACTTGTTTGATTTTTATTTTGGTCATAAATATAAAACTTCAATCCACTTTGTCTCTCATATATATTCTTTTTTTTAAGATAGTCCTTATAATAATAGCAGTTTTAACTAATACACTTGATTGACAATGGTATTTTAGGAAAGACAACATCTATTTATTACAAATAATTAACTTAACTAGTTTTCTTAATTTACTCATATTAGTCAATGAGTATAAGATCTAATTTGACTTTCAATTTGGTCATAAATATAATATTTCAATCCACTTTGTCTATCATATTTATCCTTTTTTTTTATAAAAAATGACTCTTATAGTAGTTGTACATGTTAAGATCCATCAAATGATAGTTCTAGCTAATACACATGATTAGTAAGGGCATTCTAGGAAAGACAACACATATTTATTACAAAAACTAACTTAACAAATTTTCTTAATCTACTTAAATTAGTCAACTAACTCTTATATTAAAGAATGGAAGTAGCATATATACACACACATAACCGTTTAATTTACTTGATCTAAAGCATCACAATTTGCCACATTACCCACACAACAAGGCACGATGCACTTTATCATCCTGGTGCTATATATTGTTTCATGACTCATCAATCCACTTCTTGCACTATCCTGTAATCACTAGCATCAATGCAAAATAATGGGGAGAAGAGAACAGGGGCACAAAAAATTATTTAATTATATTTATAATCCTAAACGTAATAATAGAAGACAATATGAGCAAATCACAATATTTAAATAAAGTAAGGACTTGTTTGCAGCTGCTTATATATTAAGTGTTTATAAACATATTCATGTAAGTGGAAATAAAATTTTTCTCGCACTTTATTTCATTAAAAAACTTTTTAATGGATCCTACTGCCATTCTAAACAAGCATTAAAGTTAATGACTCTGGTAATGTAAAAAAGACAATTTATACAAACCAAACTTTTAATCCAAATCAAATCTAAAAAGCAATAAATTTTCATAATCTGAAAGAGACCATGCAATCAGTATAAGAAGGCCCACATCTTATTGTGTTTAAGGCTCTCTGTGTCAGAATTTTCCAAGCTCGCTCCAAACTCTCGGAAAATTATGTCAGCAGGATGGATCGAAATTGTTTTGCAAACAAGTAAAAAGACCGAAAAAAACGGGTGCAGTCTAAAAAAGTCATGTCAAACAAATCCAGGTCAGAACAAAACACCTTTATATTAGGCTTGATTGATGACCAAATCATTTAGGTCTTGTTTGGTAGGAAGAGTTAAAAATAAGGGATTAGGATTGTGATTGTAATTGAAAAAATTATTAAAATAGTATTTAGCATGGGTAATTGCTTGTTATATGAAATTAGGCAAACCCCTAGAGATGAGATTGAGGAATACCTTTTTCCCCCATAGTATTCTCCAATCCCACATATATGGGTTTGGCTAATCCCATATAAGAAGCAATCTCTTATACTAAATACTCTGTTAATAGATTTTCTTAATTACAATCCCAATTCCAATCCCTCATTTTCAACGCTTCTTACCAAATGTAACATTAGTTCTGAGTTAAGGACAAATCCTCCATGAACAAATAGAAAGATTAAAAACTTCTAAATTTTTGGGAGCATAGATCACATAAAGATGTAAAAATAAAAGATAAAAATCCAAAAATAATTAATTTAATCATAATTAACCAAGTCAAACCCCTCAACTATATAAGGTGAGTGTGTCATGATCCTACTTCTTCTTCTTCGTACTCAAGCGCGTACCGCCATTACTTATCATGGCTAATAATAAGTGGGGTTCTAATGCAATACACATAATCTAAAAAGTAAGATAAAATGTTCATAACTCATGACTCGTGGCGACAACTAAATATGCATTGATTTTGAGTTAAAGTTGAGTTTTTATTTGATTTTGATATACTTCGATTAGAGTTCCACACCATGCGAGTACCTGGCCTATGAGTTTGTGTTCTCCCATGATTAATGTGTCTCTCGTTCTTCTTCAGTTTGTTTTTTTTTTTTAGGCGTAGCAAGTTTGTAGTTTGACCAAGTTTCATTTTTATATTATTTTTCTGCCTGAATTTTCTATTATTTTCTTTTTCTGAATTTATTTTGTGGGTTAATTTTCTGCTTGATTTGAATTTCTACTTTGATTAAATTAAATTTCTCATGCGCCTCCCGGCTCCCGCGGGGGATAATTCATGCCAACAGAAAAATGGGGAAAATAAAGAAGAAAAAAGGTTGGTGGTCTGGAAAGCTTGGGTTGGCATTAGGCGGGGGTGTTTTTAGCGCAACCTGCTAGAATTATATCTTAATGTGGGCCAACCTCCAACTCACAGATGTGCTTTATTACTAGCTCTAATTTAATTGATCATTAAGATATATAATTTTTGTACACAAAAAAAGATATATAATTTAATTCATAATAATTAAATAATTATTTTAGTAACAATTATCGGGATAATATAATATTATTTTATTCATCAACAAATTGTAGAGCATAACAGGAAAAAAAGGTGGACCATTATTCAGTTTACAACAACAAAATACACACAGAGGCAAATGATCATCAAATTAAACTTATCGCCACCTGCCACGTCTTGAACTTGAACTTGAACTTGGTATTAACATATTCACATGAATTGTATAAAATAAAAACACACACAGAGGCACACAGGAAAAAATGAACGCAGACAAATACTACTTGCGGTCTTTAATACAAGAGCTAGTTGATTAATTTTAATAGGTTAAAAAAACTAGTTAAGTTAGTTATTCATACTAAATAAGTGTTGGCTAGAACTATTATTATTATAAGGACTAGCTTAAAAAAATAGATAAATAAAACAAAATAAATTGAATATTATAATTAGGATTAAAAATAAAGTTAAAGAAGCTTTTATATTAATAATCGGATATATTAAGGAGTCACACACTACATACACGCGTTTTTCTTCCCCTTTTATCATGTGACGAAGCAGGTCAACTTTTTCTTCTTCAAATTCGTATCATTAGTGGTGGCACCTTTCTTTTCGACAATGTTGTCAGTTAGATTATTAGTTAAAAAGAAAAGGTTACAAGGAACAGTACAAAAACTAGGATTATTAGTGGCATCGAAATCACTCCTTTGAGGTACTTGAGAGCACAATGAACTCCCAGTAGAATAAATTCTACTTAATGGGAGCTCTGCGTTATAGTAAATTAAATTCAATTCTCAAACGAGATGATCAGCTGCTAAATAGGCTTAATTAAGTTACCAACATCATTATTTATCATAAGCTAATAATTATAATAACTATAGAGAGCTATCTAGGTCGCTCACTTGAACACAACACTGATCGGTTCGAGCTTGTCGGCCAGACCCAGATACCTTTTCTTGTCATCTGCATCATAAATGCCGAGATCGCTGCACACAACGGAGCATTTGCAGATTTCAGTGGGACAGAACTTGAGCTTATAGGCGCCGCCGCTTTTACCGCCGCCAGATGATTTCTCGATCATGAACCAGTTCACGAAGGTGTTCATGCCAGGGTTTCCTTCAACGCCGTCCATGCCGATAAATCGGGCTTCAGTAATCCTTTTCAAGCCTCCACACCATCGAGCTCCCGCAGGGTTTCGACGACGACGATGTTGTG